CCTCGATCTCCACATTCACTTACCAGCCACTCAGTGATCGACCCGGAGCAACGTCCAGTTCCACAAGCTCTAGTCACAGTCAGTGTCCTATACAGTTGCAGCATTTTTAAAGCTTTTATACCACATTTTTACTGTACCCTTTCTATATTTTTATTTTTAATCATTTTTTTACTTTTAATTATAGCTGACATACAATATTGTATTAGTTTCAGGTGTACACCTGAGTGACTAGATATTATATAACTTACTAAGTGATCATCCTGATAAATCTTGCACCCATCTGAAACCATACATAGTTATTAGAATATTATTGGCTGTTCCCTGCACTGTGCTTTACATCCCCATGACTATTCTGTTACTACTAATTTGTACTTCTTAATCCCTTCACCTTTTTCACTTCCCTCCTCCAACCCCCCTCCTATCTGGCAACCATCAAAATTTCTCTGTATCTATGAGTCTGTTTCTGTTCTGCTTATTTGTTTATTTTGTTTTTTAGATTCAAATGTTGACTGATATATGTATTTATTGCTATTTTATTGTTCATATTTTTTATCTTTTCTTATTTTCTTTTTTTCTCCATCTCCTTCTTCTTCTCAAATAAGATCCCTTAACATTTCATGTAATCCTGGTTTTGTGGTGATGAATTCTTTTAGATTTTTATCTGGGATGCTCTTTATGTATCCTTCAATTCTAAATGATAGTTTTGCTGCATAATCTTGGTTGTAGGTCTTATTTATTATCACTTTGACTATTTCTTTGACAGGCCCTTCTGTCCTACAAAGTTTCTGTTGAGAAACCACCTGATAGTCTTATGGGAGCCCCCTTATATCTAACTAACTGCTTTTCTCTCACTGCTTTTAAGATTCTTTGTCTTTAACCTTTGGCATTTTAATTATGAAGTGTCTTGTTGTAGGCCTCTTTGAGTTCATCTTGTTTGGGATTCTCTGCACTTTCTGTCCTTGTATGTCTATTTTCCTCACCAGGTTAGGAAAGTATTTTGTCATCATTTTTTTAAGTAGGTTTTTCAATTACTTGCTTTCTCTCTTCTCTCTCCTACTCCCCCATGATGTTAATGTTGGGACACTTGAAGTTGTCTCAGAGGCTTCTTACACTATCCTTATTTGGGGGTTTTTTTTATTTTATTTTATTTTATTTTTTTGCTGTTCTGATTGGGTGGTTTTACTTCCTCATATTCCAAATCACTGTTTTGATTCTTGGCTTCACATATTCTACTGTTGATTCCCTATAAATTATCATTTGTTTTGGTTAGTGTATCCTTCACTTTTTACTGCTTTTTTTTAATGGTTTCCATGTTCTTTTTTATGCTGTTGAAGTTCTAAGTTCATCTACTCTTTCCCTAGGTTCATTGCACATCCTCCTAACCACTGTTTTCTACTCTGCATCTAGTAGATTGCTTGTCTACATTTTGTTTAGTTCTTTTTCTGGAGTTTTGTCTTTCATTTGAGACATATTTCTTTGTCTCCTAATTTTGTCAGCCTCCTTCCCTGTGTTTGTTTCCATGTATTAGGTAGTGCTGCTATGCCCCCCAAGCTTGGTAGAGTGGACTAATATAGTAGGTGTTCTGTGGTATCCAGAAGCACAGTCTCCCCATTCACCTGAGCTGGGTATTCCAGGTTCACCACCACACCACACCCCCCCATGTGGGCAGTGTACAACCTCCTGTTGTAGTTGAGTGTTGATTGCTTTAGGCATGTCAATGGGAGGGCCTGTCAGCTGTGAGAATGGACTGCAACTACCATGGAGGATTAGCTATGCAGGGGCCCATCCCACAGAGCAGGGCTTACTGCAGCTTAGCACTGCTACCCGTTCAATCCACCCCTTGAGTGTGTTGCTTGTGAAGTGATTGGGTGGTACTTTGACATGGTCTGAAGCTGTTCATCTGGTGTACTGTTTTGGGGCCTCCCAGAAGGTGTAGGCCAAGGTCAGCTACTACCTATGTTCTGCCTGGGCCCACCTGGCATGAGCTACAAAATGATCTGCATAGAGCTGCTACTTGTGCTGAGCTTTGACGTGTCCAGGAGAGGCCAAACTATGAATCTAGGCCAACTCTGATAGTTCTGGGCCTGGGGCCACTTAGCAAGAGGTATGGGGCATGCTAAGGCCAGATTCTGCTTGTTTGAGAGATATTTAGGAAAGTCTAAAACATGAGCCAAGACAGGCCATTTGTATAGAAAACCCACTGGAAAAAGCTTGGGTGAGCCTGCAAGTTGGTGAGACAGGGCCTCAGGGAATCACCAGGGCTGGAAAATAGGGTGAACCATGTTAATGGAATCTCAGATATAGTGCCCTCCTGCCAGCTCTGTAGGGGTAAGGGCTCAGAAAAGGAACAATGGCCTCTGCCAGCACTTCTGTCTGGGAGAAAGCTGCCCCTCCAGCTCTTGCCCTGATGCCAAACATCTCAGTTCCTCCATGTATGCCTCTGGTGCCTTTCAGGCTGCTGCCCCAGCTCTGGAGCTCAGAGGGAGTGAGTCCAAGTAAGTCTATGTATGGGCCCTTTAAAAGGAACTGCCAGGGAGTCCAGAAGCCCTCTATCTCACTTAGCGGCAATCCCTGCTGCTTTTTACAGCCAAATTTATGAGGGCTTCTCATTTTGACACTGGAACCCTGGACTGGGGAACCTGTGTGGGTGTGGGACCCCTCACTCCTCATGGGGACCTCTGCATCTGAAATATCCCTCCAAATCCCAATTTTTATCTGCCAACATGTGGGTGTGGGACCAGCCTGTTTTGCATTTCTGTCCCTCCTACCAGTCTTGATGTGGCTTCTTTATATCCTTAGTCAGAGAATATAAAGTAAGGAGCTAGATTTCAGGCAGTTCTAAATGACGGTTGTTCTGTACTTTTAGTTGTAATTTTGATGTGGTTGTAGGAGTATGCAAATACCACATATACCTACACTGCCATCTTGACTAGTAGCCCCAAATTAGATTTTGCTATGTTTTTACATATACAAATACCATTGTGTTACAATTGCCTACAGTATGCAGTATAGTGATATGTTAAATAAGTCTTGTAGCCCAAGAACAATAGGCTATACCACATAGCCTAAGTGTAGTGGGCTATAACATCTAGCTTTGCATAAATATACTCCACGGTGTTCGCACAATGACAAAATCACGTAATGATGCATTTCACAAAACGTATCCTAGTCACTAAGAAGTGCATAACTGTAATTCCCCTCCCTATATACACAAATCTCAGCTAGATAGTCCAGAAAGGTGCCCCATATTTATCCTAAAGCTTTCCATCTCTTCCTAGCTCCCCAAGAGGTGCCTCCTTAAGAAATACAGGATACGTTATGACTCCTCTTCATATACTACATTCCTAAAAACCAAGTGTTGGCCATAATTAATTTTTGAAGAACCTAGAATAAAAGTGGAAGGAGGAGGACCTTAAGAAATAGAAAAAAATAAAAAATAAAAGAAGGGGACTTGTTCTCAATATTAAAGCTACATAAAACTTCACCCTCGTATACCTAAAACAGTTCTAGAATTATTTCATACCACCATCATTCCCCGCTCCCAATTTGTAGCTGGCCAATTACACAGCTGCCAATGAATCTTAAAAAAGACTCACATATATTAACATATATGTAAAAAAAATACTCCATACAGCACTCTTTGGATTAGATCCAAAAATGCCTGGAAACTTGAACATCTATCAAGAAAGGGCTGGTAGGACAAATTACAGCACATCTAGAAATGGCGTGTCATGCAGATTACCATGTAGCTATCGAAGAAAATGATGTAGATCATTGCTACATGTTCATAAATCTACAGGGGCAGAAAACTTGTCCCCTCCTAGGTTCTTTATCTGATCTAATAATTAAATTGACATAAGACAGATTGACAGGAAGAAAAAAGTTGTCTCTGCTAATGGCTTTTTTCCTGGTAGAGGCCCCCTATCTAAATTCTTTTAGGCAGTTAAGGGAGAGATAAAAAGTTCTTCTTTCATCTGCTGGACTTCAATTATCTTCAACTCAAAATAATCCACACGCCAAAGTGCATATTCTGGAACAAACTGCCCTGAACCTCATCACATGCGTTCCAAGAGATCCAGGATAAGTGGTTAAAAGAAAAAAGCAAGTCATGGAACAGGAAGAATTCCTGCTGAATAGAAAAAAAGCAAGGAGTATATATATTTGCATATATATATATATATGCTCTATAAGGATACACCAATGGTTGGTTACCCCTGGGAAAACAAGAGGTTACTGAGGGAGGAATTACTTTTTGTTATCGTCTTGTATTGCTTAAATTTTCACCATAACGTATTCAAAAATTAGATTATGCATGTGTGTCTACTTACACTTAAACACATGCACAGTTTTAAAACAAAGCTATCTAGAGGAAGTACAGGCGAAAGCAAACAGGAAGGGCCCAGCCTGGCTCTCTCTGCCCGCCTGACTCACGGCTTCCGGGGCCATAACCCAGCAGGCCTGGCTGGTGCTCCCGGGCCCCAGCTTCTGTGATTCCTGTCTGGGAGGCGCTGTGCTTTCTTGCAAGAGGAGGGACACTCATGACTGGAGACGATTCAGGAAAGAGCCCCTAAAGCCAGGATGCCGATCCTCCCGCAACATTCTTTAGCATTTTACTTTCATAAATTGTAATTTTAATGATGGCCTCTCTCACCACTTCTTTTTCCCCCACAAACTTTCAGAGGTCTCCCTACCTACACGCCATGTTCAAAGTTCAAAATACTTCGCATATGCGGCAAAGACGGAGGTCAGAGAACATGTTTGTGAAAAACTTTTCCTCCACATTGAGTACCAAACCACCTTGACAACAAGCGTTCTTGACAATCAACTGTGAGGAAACAGCTTGTTCACTGCTGGCCCAGCTGGCCAATTAGACAGTGCGTTCTTCTGATAGCATAATGTTCATCATCGGCCCCCACAACATTTTGGGAAGCATTCCCAGCATTCAGAGAACCCCTTAAATGAAATCAGACCAGTGCTTAAGCCAATCTATACCCAGGAGCCAAGAGGAATAATTAAAGGAGTGAATGTTTTATTCCTTAGTGTTTAATAGAATACATAACAAGTCACATAATCAATGATTCATTACTTCACACACGGAGGAAAACGGTATCGAGTATTTGTTATACAACTGGTTGTGAGCAGGGAGAACAAAAGTAGAGCATTTAGATGGTTGAAGAAATTCTCATTTAAAGTTTGGGCATGTCTACAAAGACTTCATCAGCGCCTTTTTTAAAATATAGAGGGATTTTTTTTTTTTTATCTTGGCTTTCTGTCTCATTAGAAAAGCCTCATAATCATATAATTAATTTTTTTTCTTTCCCCTTCTATTTTGAGAAAATGACTCAATGATATGAAAGACAACATTTTCGACAATCCCATAATTCCAGATAGCTCTGTGGGAATCTTACATTGTTTAGCAGATAAGAGTTTTTCAGATGGCTGGAAATTTTTAAATAACGTATAATTGACATCTTCAAAATTAACATCCACAATGAATGCTTTAACCTTTAATCATTAAATGTCACTAATGCTATTTGTGTGGTCATAAATGAATTGCCATCATTTGTAATAGTAATAGCAAAGTTTGCCTGCCTGTAAAGTCACAAAGACAGTTGTATAATAGTTTACATTACAATTAATGTTCACAGACATCAGCATACATTTAAAATAAAAAACCTGGCTTGGGGGGAAAAATCAAAAAATGTATAAGGTGACAAGAATTCTTGGTCAAACTAGTCCATTTTCCTATCACAAAAGATTATACTCTAATGTAGACAGTCTGGTTGAATTTCTTCCAAATTCCAAGGGCCCCAGTAGAAAAATCTAAATCTTCAAACACTAATACTTTTAGATTTTTATTATTCAAACTTGTGGCAAAGAAAAATTAACTTCAACAGAAATTGTTCCTGGCTCTAGGAAACTCTGTTTCCGGTACTATTGGCCCTAGAAACACAAGATTATTTTATTTATTTCTCAAGACAGATTTGGTCATTTAAGAAAACTAATTCAGTTTTTAATTGAGTTATAGTAAAGGGAAAAAACAAAACAAAATTCCAAAAGATTTACTCTGGTAGGTTTATAATGCAAACATTCAATTTACTAGTTTAGAAATTTAAGTCAATTGAGAAAAGCATTTATGATTTAGACTATAAAAGAAATTCTTAAGGAATTCAGCCCCTCCAGTCAATACTTTCTAAATACCTGCACTATAATTTAGCATTTTTCATGTGGAATACAAAACTGTTTAAATATTAGATTAGGATTTACCATAATTTAAAAAGTAAGAAATTATCAAAGCATCATCTTACATGGCTTCAATATAATAACATTCCATAGAAAATTCCAATAAAAATTGGACTATATCATGAGATTTGCCAGTTGCCCATTTTGTCTGAGAATTCACAGATTACGCACTTCCTCAGAGAAGCAACAGCCCCCATTTATATGGTTCTGGATTGAAAGAGAAGACAAATTTGGCTCGTATGATAAATTATCACTTTGCTATCAATGCAGAAAGCCAAATAAGAAACACAGGAATAAAAACAGTACTGAAGGAGAAAATATTTTTAAGTCTCACACCTTCAAGGAACGTTTTCCACAACATATAATTTGAAAAATTAAAATGAATATGGTTCGTTTTCTACATTAAAAATAGACTACTTGTTAAACACTTGGCACAAAAGCTTTAAACATGGTACCTGTTTTTTTAACCACCACTGTCAATAATCATTCTTTTTTAAAAATTAAAAAAATTAGTTATTAAAACCTAACGTCACTCAGTTGTATTTATGAATCAAAAGGTAATTAGAGTCATTACATATGTAAATGCATGCTCCATGGAGTCAGGTTAATGCAGTCATAATTACCTGAATAATTTCCGACCTTCTCCCAAGTTATTTGAATGGTGTCTTCACGGGGTTTGTTCAAATGTCCTCGAAATCCCATCCAAGTTCATAGGTGGCAACCAACGAACACTCCAACCCACCCTGCAGACCACCAAAGGTCCTTCTCAGGCCCAAGGCACATGGAGGGGGAGGGCCCCCGAAGTGCCCATGACCAGTCATCTTACCACAGTTATACTCTCTACCCAGCGTAAAATGAGTTTCCCGCGCAACCTTTACTTTGGCCTAAAAGTAAAATGTTTTTAGGTATCCACTTCCAACTTTATAGGGGTCATCCCCAGAAAAAGAGGATGCTTTCCTGTCTCTAACCATTAAATTCCCAGTCTTTCAGATAGAAAGGGGTAAGGGGAGGGGTGCAGGGCAACATGGAGGGGGGACGAGGGGAGCGATAAAATGTCTATGAAATAGTTCAACTCAAAGTTTTACAAGACAAAATTTATGACTTAAGTGGCAGAGACAAATCTTTAGCAGTTTTGCATTACTCCTGGAGTTGTGCAGATTTTACAAGGAAAACCAGAATCTCAGAGTCTTGCCATATGTTAGTGGCTTTGATCTGGCCCTCTAAGATGGTCTCAATTACATGATTTTTGTTGAGCAATCTAACAGAATACCATGTGGACGGAGAAGTCTCTGTGACACCCTCTTTTGGCCAGTGAGCAACATTCCTAAATCATTTCAGGCTTGAAACAGAGATAAGTTCTGATGCATTACCTAGTCTGAGAACACACTCAACATTAAAGCACACACAACTTCTTGGATTTCTACTTCCACTTCCCTTATGATTACAGTCTTTACTTTAGAAAAGTAAACTAACTTTACTTTTCTAAAAATGCAATTACAATAAAAAACCTCAAATCTTTTTCTTAAAAAAGAAACAGTGGCTTAAAAATACAGGTACTTTGATTTAAGTAGACAGTTAATCAACATATTATTAGTATACAACTAATATCCAAGCAAAAGAGAAAGAAGTATGGAGCAAACTCAGTTTTATAATTTACATATTTTTTTCCTAACCCAATTTCTCCATAGATAAGAATATAAGAAACTCATCAAAACATGTTGCTTTAGTATAAACACCATCTGATGAAAGTTACTGGGGGCAAATATAGGAAATTATACAGCATTAGTTAATGAATTAAAAAACTAAATGATTCATGTAAAATGTTTATATATGGTATATACAGATTGGATCACATGAGTCTAAGAACAAAACTGTTCCAATTCTTAACATCTGTTATGGACATAGTAAGATACAGTACAAGATTCATTTTTAAAAAGGAAAAATAGCGCTAATTTAAACACTGAAAACACATTCTTACAAAATCTTTAAAAACATACTTCAGAGAAAAATGCTGAAACAAATGAAAAAATATTCCATCATCACAGAATATTCAAAGGAGCCTCACAGCATGAAAGATAAGGATTCACTTCCTGTCACTTATGGGGTAGATAGGAAATGCAGTGGGAGTTTATTCCATGTTAGAGAAAAGGCGTAAGGCAAGCAGGTCTCCTTCTGTTTCTGCTGCATTTACCTAAACACCATTTTATTGCTCAGTTCACTTTAACTACTTGTGTTCATTTTAAAAGACTCCATTTTACAGCTATGGACAGAGGGGCGGCCCTTGGTGCTTCTATTTCTCTGCAGCTGTCACTCAAAAAGATTCCACCTTAACTTCAAATAATCTGCATGAAAGAAGTGGCATTTTCTGGTTTTCAGATTTGCCCAGAAGTCAACAGTGACTGGGCTTGGAGAAAGGAAGGGTGTTTTTTAATAAGAGATCCTAAGTTTAAGTAACCAAAATCAAACATACGTTGCTCAAGTAAATAGATTTTTAATTCAGGATTTATAATCAACAAGGAAATAAAGTTGAAAAACTAAAACCCTACTGGGTAACTCTTTGGTTAGATTACATAAGTATTAGCAACTTCTAAGTTTAGGATTCAAAACAATTCAATAAACTGCCTGTAAAGAGTAGATGCTATTAATTTTTATAAAATGCTTTGCGTGTTTTTGTGTACTATTTTTTTAAATGTGCATGTACTCAAAGGGATGGTACAAACTTCCAACTTTCAAATAATACATGAGCTAGTCGGTTCCTCCCTTCCCACCCACGCTGCCTGCCTTCCTCCCTCCCCACCCCACCCCCAAGTCTTAAGAGCTAAGGTCCTACTGCTATTCACTGCAAGAATACTTGGGCTTTCCTAATCCCCACGACGTGCATTATTACTACCCAGCTCCATTCAGTCACTGCTGGCTGACTTCCCCGAGAGACTTGGTCACTCGGCCTGTCCTGCCCTGTTCGTGGCAGGGCTCTGTCTTCCTCCTGCCAATAACTGCTGCCATGTCACCCAGTCCAACCAAGGGCTTCTGGCAATGAGCAGAGGAAAAGGGGTGCCTCCTCAGGCAGGAGGTAACTTTCTACAGGTTTCAGCCACGGGCGAAGACTTTTATTTCCGCAAGGAGAAGACGTGATCCTTCATTGTGCCAGCACTAGATTCTTCGCCTACATCTACCTGTAACTCTTCTAAACTTTATTCATTTAGAGTCACTGAACTGCCTCCATGGGATCCCAATTCCAGGTCGAGTCTTCCATCCAGCCTTCTAACACTCTACTTCTAAAGAGGGCCAAAAACACTATTCCCAGCGTTATCAACGCTGATCTCTTGATAACCTCGAAGGAATCCTATAGGGCTTGAGAAGATTTCAAGGAAATCTTCTACACACTGGTCAGGGTCCCATCAGGTTCTGAACAATTCAATCATTCCCAGGTACTTGGTGACTTGGCGCCACCCTGCCCCACTAGCTCCAGACAGAAGGACAATCCGGGAGGGGAGGTGGTTTGAGGCAGGGGGTGGAGGAAGCATGGGTGGAGGGGGTACATCTGGGCCCTCTCGGTTAGTGGGGTCCAAAGAAGATGAAAGAAACAGCCGAAAGGATTGGCGGCTCCAGGTTCTCAAGTGGGGACGAGGGGGACTAGCACAGCTATTGGAGGTGGGGATCAGGGGAATAAGGGGGCGTGGGGTGGGAAGGGAGATCTATAATCCTCTCCCGGGCAGGAAGAAGGGGGAATGGGTACGCTGGAGTCGCGAGGGGGTCTGGGGAGCTCACTCCCTGCAGAAGACGTACTCGGTGTAGCTGGTCCAGATCTTGTCCTCGCTCTGGTCGGTGCTGGCGAAGGCGCAGGTGCCCGTGGAACTGCACGCCACCATGTGGAAGCCCGACTCGGACAGCTTGTCGAAAGCCTGCTCCAGGAAGTTGAACTTGAGGTAATAGCGCGAGGTGTAGCGCTCCGGGGGCCGGTCGGGGTCCCGGCTCTCGTTCAGGGTGTCCCCGAACACCTCTTTGGCCAGCGATGTCTTGCCGCACACGGTGATGCGTGCCACTCGCCGGAACTTGGCGTCAGCCTGCACGTCCCGCCCAATAGTGTAGGAGCCGCGGTAGCCGATGGTGATGTAGCCCGAGCGTCGGCTCCCGTCCAACGACTGGGACGGCGTGAGCAGCGGACCCGCCGCGCCCCCGGACGGGCTGCGGCTAGCCAGCTCCAGCGTGGGCGAGGGCGCTCCTGCGGAGGCGCCCTCCTGCTGCTCCGGCTCCGCGCAGCCGAGCGACAGCAACTCGTCTCCCAGCGAGCCCTCCTTTTGCACCCCGCGCCTGGGGTGCGGAGGTGGCCCCGGGCCAGGCTGCTGAGGTTCCCCGAGGCGGCGCACGAGTTCAGGCAGCTCGAAGTATTCGGCCTCACGCTGCAGCCGGCTGCGCTCGGGGAAGTAGTCGGGCAGCACGAGCTGCAAGTCCCGCAGGTAATCCAGGATGTAACGGAAGAGGAAGCCGTCTCTGTCCAGAAAGAAGCGGCCTTTGCTGTCCCGGGCCAGCTCCTGCGGCTGCTGCTGCGTGAACATGCGCCAGAGCAACGAGTCGGGCACCGACACCACCGTGCAGCGCCGAGTCACATACACCTGGCCCCCCACGTTCAGCTCCACGATATCGGGGAAGAGCGGCGGCTCCGCAGAAGAGGACGAGGAGCCGCTACCGCCTCCGCCACCCCCGTTGGGTAATCCACGGGTGCTGTCCGCCAGAGCCATGGTTAAGGGGTGGCTGGGCTGGGGTAGTGACAGGGAGTGGGGCCGCACAATGGGGCTGCGGCCACCCTTCCCAGACGCTCGCTCAGCCCTGCGCCCCGGCCGCCGCCTCCAGGAGGCCCAGGAGCCGAGCGGTGCGAGCGCGCCCCGCTATGCTCCCGGAGAGCCCCACTGCACTCCGCCCGCCTCGCCCGCGCGCTCCAGGCGAGTGCCAGGTCGCGGCCCGCGCGCCGCTTAAGTAGAGCCTCCCGCTAGGGCGCCGCGGCGCGCAGGAGGCGTGGGCGGCTGCAGAGCGGCGGAGCCTCACTCCCGGGGCGGGAGGGGGACGGTGGAGCAAGGATTCGATTTGCATCTTAAAAGCTGACGCCGCGCCCCGCCGCTGGCTCCACCCAGACTCGCGAGCTCCCAGGGCGACCCTACTCTACGCTTTCACCACTCCTAGCGCCGCGCTCCAGCCCTTTCCCACTCCGGCCCAACTTTCTTTCTCTTCCAAAGTGGACAGCCAGAGCCTGGGACAGGCGCTTCAGAAGACGAGCCTTCTTGGACGGGTTGCCACTACACCCCTTTCCCTCCTAACCCCACCTGATCCCCGGGGACTCTGAAAGGAGGTCGTAAACTTTCCGGGTTTCCGCCCCCGGTCGAGGGGTAGCGGGCGGTGGGGAGGCGGTGGAAGTGGGTGGCGGTCTCCTGCACCCGCGATCTCCCGAACAGGCTGCATTAAACACTGGAGTTGAGGCACTGCCCTAGGTAGTTGTGTTGCTGAAAGTTGTAGACAGAGACAAAACATCTGGAGAGACAATAGAGCCGCCCCAGCCTAGAGACAGCCCCATTGTCTTCGCGTTGCCGAGTAGCCGCGAAAAGCCCCTAGAAACAGAAAGCTAACCTTGGTATCCTGCCACAGCGCGCTATCTTTATGGCTAAAGAGGCAAACTCACTGATTGGAAGACCTCAAAATTGGAGGAAATAAGCTGAAATGGCAATGGGGAACTTAAGCGAGATAAAGGAGCTACTTCTTACTGGTTCCCCCCTGAGAGCCGCCCACGCGGCTTCTTGCCGCAGGCGGCAGGAGTGAGTGAGACCGGAGGGAACGCTTCGTCCACGGGTCTCCCTCCGGCCTTGGGGAGTCGCGCCGTAAAACTCGGAGGGCTTGCGGACCTAACGTAATTTACAAAACCCACCTTTCAGCCCCTGTGTGTTTATCCTCGCGGAGGCCCAGGCGCCTGGGTCATTCATCCGGTTCAGGCCTTTCCAGGTTTCCTCTAGTTTCAGAACCTTAAATTTGAAGTCCCTCTTCTAAATCGCGTCTGGCCCTCTAAGTCCTGCTACGTGCACATTCACATTCAGCTGTCACATTGCAGCCCAGAGACCTCCTCCTCCCCCAGGAAGCCTTCCCTGGCTTCTCAGGCGGGTGGGGCCCCGGGACTGCTCCTCCTAATGCCTACCTAATTAATGCGCAACACATGATAAAATTTCATTTGTGAGTGATTACCTGATCTCCGACTTTGGTAAATAAAAAAGTATTCCTGGGCGCTGCAGAAAGGGGGCACGAAGCGGGGTAGTGAAGGATGCTAAGAAGCCGTTAGGTCAAGGAATATTCGTTGCACACCTGCTATTTCCCAGGTAGTGAGCGATGCAAGGTTGAATGAGCTCCGGGCAGCTTTTCATTGTAACCTGGTATGCAAAGGGTCAGAAGTCTGAGCCCTTATCAGACCAGGTGGCAGTACAGAGCTTCCGTCAGGATAAATGAGGCCAGGTCTTTGTTCTTGATGATACTGTTTACCCTTTTGTGAAACTGCCTAGTGAGCCTTACAGTCTCCTCTCGAGTAAGTGTCATTTTTACTTTGAAATGTTTATGTCTGCTGAACAATTATCTCATTCATGTCAGTGTGCTGAAATAAGATCAAGCCCCAACCCAGCTCAGTTATTTGCAAGTACAGATTATGCTACTGAATATATTTGACCACTCTTTTTTGTCTGTCCTTTGTGATAATAGATGACACAGAAGTTCCAAGGTCCAGTGCCAAATTTCTAGGTGGTTGTGCTACTACTGTTTGTTATATCAAGGTCACAGGCTTGGCAAAACCAGTCTCTTTTCTATAAATCCAGGAAAAGCCTTCTTCGTGTCAGTTCTGCACAGGTGTTTATAGCATTAATCTGCTCATTGTATCAGCAACTTCTGTCAATTCTGCCTCCAGAATAGTTCCAGACTACTAACATGTCTCATCACCTCGCTGCCGCCACCCTGGACCAAGCCTCCTCTCATCTTTTGCCTGATTAGTGCATCAGTCTCCTAGCTGCTTTCACCTTTGCCTCCTACAATTTTTTTTATCACCAGAACAAAAAAAAGAAGGGTCCTATTATAACCTAAGGCGGATCATCTCACTCTGCTCAGTGCTCCTCGAAGGCTTCCCATCTGATAAAAGAGTAAAAGCCAAAGTCCTCCCACGGCCTCACAGGGGGGCCCATGACTGGAGCTACCCCACTGGCACCTCCCAGGCCCGCTTGCTCCCGCTTTCCTAGGAGCTCCCTGGTTTTAGCCACACTATCCGCCCACTTTCCCCAGGGCCTTTGCACTTCCTGTTCCTTTTGCTAAAAGGCTACTTTTCCCCGTGCCCCTCTCATCTTCCTCACCTTGGTCAGGTGCCTCCTTTCTCACCTTGTTCATGTCTCTGCAGCAAGACTCTCCCTTGATCACCCCATTTAATATGGCACAGCCCCCCACAAGCAGCTTCCCTTTCTCTACTTTATTTATTTACTGTTGTTCCCTGCATTAGCCTAGAAACTCCAAGAATTCAAGAGATGGGGGTCTTTTTGCTTCATTGCCATAGTAACCCCCCTTATCTACCATTTGGCTTTCCATGGTTTCAGTTTGAAAATACTACATCGAAAATTCCAGAAATAAACAACTCACAAGGTTTAGATTGCGAGCCATGATGAGTGTGACGAAATCCAGGACCTTCCCACTCAATCCCACCCAGACGTGAGTCATCCCTCTGTCCAACCGGAATGTTCGCTCAGTGTTCGCTCCGCACCTGTTGGTCACTCAGTAGCCACCTCAGTTCCCAGGCTGCGGAGATGTCACAGTGCTGGTGCTCAAGGAACCCTCATTTCACTCTGCAAAGGCTCCGAAGTGTAAGAGGAATGATGCTGGCAATTTGGATATGCCAAAGAGGAATCCTAAAGCGTTGTTTCTTTTAGTGAAAAGGTGAAAATTCTCCATTTAGTAAGGCCTTTTATCATCTCACATCATCAAAAGAAAGGTGAGTACAGTGAAGTAAGATATTTTTGAGAGAGACCACATTCTTATAACTTTTATTATAGTATATTATTATAATTGTATGTTAGTATTATTGTTGTTAATCTCTTAAGGTGCCTTGTTTATAAACTAAACTTCATCATATGTATTAAGAAAACACAGTTCATGAGTATGTGGGTTCGGTTTCAGATCCGCTGGAGGTCTTGGAACAAGTCCCCCATCGATAACGGGGTGGGGGCGCTGCTGTACATCCCCAGTGCCTAGGACAGAACTGGCATGTAATGGGCTTTTGAGAAATACCTGTTGCTTACTTATTTGTCCCACTGATATTTATTAAGGGTCTGCTACTGTGTCCTAGGCAGTGTTAGAGAATAGCCTCTGCCCTCTTGGAGCTTCAGACTTGTGAGGGAGACAGATAATAAATGAAGAGATAAGTAAGTTCAGTTTAGGTAGAGATGAATGCGATGAAGGATACAAAATTGTGAAGGGACATAGGGGGACTGAGTGTGGGGTCCTACTTTACAGGTAGACTGGCTGGGAAGGCCTGTCCCTGGCAGTGACATTGAGTGGAATAATAAGAAAGAGGGAGCCATGGGAAGTTCTGGAGGAAGAGTATTCTGGGCAGAGGGTAAAGCAGTTTAAAGGGCTTTGGGTTAGAAATGAACTTGGTACATCTTACACTAGAAGCATATTTATTGTATCGTCTCCTTGTATCCTGTGAATCTTCAAAGTACCCTTGAGAGCTCAGTGCAAGCTCACATGTGAGAGGCACTGCATGCCTAGACCCAAGCAGCATATTACCTTCCTTCTCAACCACTTGACACAGCAGTCATCCGCCATAAGCTAGCCTACTGCAGGAAGTCGCTGGTGTTTCTTTATGGAAGTCTAAGGTGTGCATGAGAGGTATAATAATGAATGAAATAGCTGATAGAAACTGAAAGAATAATTTTCTGGTTAATTTTGTATGTTCTATTTTTTGCCTACTGGTTGGTGTCATGAAATTCAAGAGGAAGTATAATGTATGTAATCAGGGAATTTTATGCTGGGATTTAAGCACCTGAGTGTGTGTTTACAGGGGAAGGGAGGGCAAAAAAAATGCCTTAGTTTCTTCAGTTTGTTAAATATGCTGATTATCAGAGGAGAGGGGAGGATTGGGGAAACCACTAGCCCTGTGTCCAGTCTCAATCAGTTTCCAGTGATGGATACATTCATGGTCATCTCTTTGTACTTTCTTAATAAGAGACAAGGCTTTGTCTTTTATCCTAAAGCGTGGGGTACTAGAAACATCTCGGGCCCACATTCTCATCTGATTGGTGTCTCCTCCGCCACCCACTACCTTCTCTCCCAGTCGGCTTCCCAGCTCACCTCGCCCCCAACACACTTGCTAAATATTCTGCACACCAAAGATTTGACAAGGGAATGAGGAAGATTAAGAGAAATATAATGTTAAAAGGGGAGGAAGAACTAGGACAAAATGAAGTGAGCGCCTCTGAGGAGTGAATTAATTTGTGTGAAAACGATCTGTAGACTGTAAAACACCATTCAAGTGTCAGAATCATGATTGTCTACCACCTACCTATCATGGTGCCTGACAAGTCTGCTCAATAAATACTGATGAATAAGTGAGTGGCGAAAACATTCAAATGAGAGCTGTGAGGAAAGGGAAGAAGAGACAGGATCCGAAATTGTCCCAAATAAGCATTCAGTTGATTTATCCTCCTTCCAATATGTGTGAATCTGTCCTGTCTGCAGGCTTTAAAAATCATTGACTTTTGCTTTCAGAAGGAGAAAGGAATTGGATACATAGAGATGAAATAACATTAGTTTAAGTAAATGAGAAGATAAGATAATTTTAATAAAGATTTGGTAAAAAGGTATGCCAAGTTTTAATCTTCAAAAAAGAGAAA